ATAAAATCTTTAAAAAAGAAAAGAAAAGAAAATACCGTTTCCTCTCACGTGTAGAGAAGATGTATTTTTCTTTCTTCCCTGTTAGTTAATTGAGGAGCAAAATGCTCCCTGGGTTTCTAACAGCCTGATCTTCAAGCTAGTAAGAAAGTAGGTACTATGGACATTTTACAAAGGTTCTTAGGATGTAATGCTTTGAGAAAAGGAGCAATGCCATTTCTTTTCTTTTTTTAAAAGATTTTATTTCTTATTTGAGAGAGGGAGAGGGAGAAGCAGGCTCCCCACCAAGCAAAGAGCCTGACATGTGGCTCGATCCCAGGACCCTGAGATCATGACCCGAGCTGAAGGCAGACGCTTCATGGACTGAGCCAGCCAGGCACCCCTGCCATTTCTTTTCTTGTCTCATGGGCTATTCTTTGCCACCTCTATGACCTAGGTTTAATTATTCATCTCTTGCTTATTCATAGAATCACTTGAACTCCATTATGGTTTTTCAGGCATGTCCCATATACACCAAAAGTATGGCAAAGAGAGAAAGGCCTAGATCCTGGGAAAAAAAAGTGAGTTGGACCAGAGCCAGTCTGAAGCAGAGATTAGAACACTATGCAGATGATATTAAATGTATGTGTTTCCCCTCTGGGAAACTTCTTCAACAATGAGAGCGTGCTTGCTATACGTAAGAATAAATGGCTTTGCTTTAAAGGAAAGGGTGGGGGGGCTTGAATCCTAAATCACCCCTTCCCAGCACAGCAGGGGTAGAAATTATGATACAGACTCAGAGACTTGAATATAAAACATTCCTATTCAGTGCGGTTGGCAACAGGTGTTCATTATATACTAGTCTTTTTTTTTTTTTTAAGATTTTATTTATCCATTTGAGAGAGACACGGAGAGAGCACCAACAGGGGGAGGGGCAGAGGGAGAGGGAGAAGCAGACGCCCCACTGAGCAGAGAGCCGGACATGGGACTTGATCCCAGGACCCTGAGATCACGTCCCAAGCTGAAGTCAGACACTCAACCGACTGAGCCACCCAGGCGCCCCACTACTAGCCTTTATTAATTACCCTTTACCAACAGCTTTGGCTGGCAGGCTAAACTGGAAAAACTCATGGCAGGACTATTACTAGTGTCTTAATTACCTCCCCCATTCTCAGCTGCCAGCACCTTTGGTCTCCTCATGGAATTGCAGAGAAGAGGCTAGGCCTATGCCTCTTCTCAGAGCAACATGGAAATTCAGTAGCTTTTTTCCATGAAGGTTTGGTGAAGACAACACTGAATTTTTTATGCCCTGAGGGGAAAGGGGGGGGAAGTGCTAGATTAAAATGTTCTAAGAACCACTTACATAATCAAAATTTAAACTTATATTTTGGATGTTTTACCCTTAATTTCATTTGGAAAATGTACATGAATGTAAGGTAGAATTCTCATTTTAGGATTTCACAGGATTTTGAAGGATAGGAACTTTCAAATTGGACGAATGTGTCAAAACGACACAGTTAAGTATCTATATTCTATAATAAAATACAAATGCCATAATACAATGAACCTTCTAATTTTGAGAGGACACATAGTAGAGGGATAGTGACATAACTACATGACTGTTTTTTTTTCCAAGACCAAAATAAAATGTAGTTGAGGCCAATGATGCAAATGTTTAAATTACCTACCTCAAATTCACGACGTTTCTCATAAATTGGAATGATCAACTTGGAAATCTCAGAAATCACTTCATAACGTTCTGCTTTCCATAAGCCATCCACACATTGTTCTAGCAACTCCAGCAACACTTCCTGCATTAAGAGCAAAATGCAATCAGGAATTAGAGATGGTTTGACAGTTCTGGGCAAATAAATCCTGAACCATTTCAAGTTCACAGAGAACAAACAGAACGTGCACCGAAGGAGTAGGGCTTATGTAACTCTATTTTCTAAATCAAATACTTGAAATATTTGAAATGGAAACCCTTCTTAAAAATATGAGAGTAATCCCTGACCATAGTGAAGTGTACCTATTTATTTTGTTCACTCACACAATGAAGATGTTAACTGTACTTACAAATGTCACCCATTAAGGAGTATCTTTAAGATACTCACAAGAAGATGGGGACTCGGGGAGGACCCCACGTGACTACAGAGGCATTGTTTGTTCCAAATGGGAGAACGAATGAAGGTCTGATGGGATAAACCCCACTAAGCTGATGAATGTTCATTGTTGTTTTTTTTTTATACTGAAGTTATATTTACACAGAATATAACAGAGTCTTAAGAAGATTTGACAACTTTCGGGGTGCCTGGGTGGCTCAGTCGTTAAGCGTCTGCCTTCGGCTCAGGTCATGATCCCAGGGTCCTGGGATCGAGCCCCACATCGGGCTC